ATACCACCTGGAGCCTCACTTCCAGATATCCTCCCTTCCTCCTGCCCCTGCCCTCTGCCAACCTGAATCTTGCCCACTGTGCAGAGCTTGAGGACATTTTCATCTCTGGAGGGGGTGTGTGGCGTTCCACAGACAGGGGTGGAAACAGCAGCTTCTCCCTGAGTCACTCCAACAAATGTGACATGATCTCTGCCTCCCTGCTCACCCCTTCTGTCCTTCTGCCTTCTTTCTGTGCCACTGTCATGGTGCTCATGAATGTCCTGTCCGACATGCTCAAAAGTATCTGTAAAGCTGGCCATGGTGGTGCATCCCTGTAATCCCAGCACTCTGGGAGGCTGAAACAGGAGGATGACAAGTTTGAGCCCAGTCTGAGCAATTTAGTGGGTTAGTGAGATCCTGTCTCAAAATAAAAAAAAATAACAGGGATGGGGATGTAGGTTTAATCACCATTACTACAAGGAGGGAGGGAGGGAAGGAGGGAAGGAGAAAGAGGAGGGAAGGAGGGAGGGAGAGAGAGAGAGAGAGAGAAAGAGAACAAGATGGATTCAATACCAAAAGAGAGATTCAATACCAAAAGAGGCAGGTACCAGGTGCTTACTACATTTTGCTCCAAAGTCATCTTCTAGTTTCTAACAGTGATAATAAAGCATAGATGCCCTGGCAAGTGTTTTCTTTTCTTTGTTGTTTGGCGGAACCTGGGATTGAACTCAGGCCCCCTTACTCTACTGAGCCATCTCCCCAGCCCAAGTATTTTCTTTTGAGATAGTGTCTCACTCCATAGTGCGGGCTGGGGTTGAACTCACTATATAGCCCAGGCTGGTCTCAAATTCATGCAATCCTCCTGCCTGTCTTCTAAGTGCTAGGATTACCGGTGTGCACTATGACACCCGACGATTCTGTTTTGTTGTTTTGTTTTGAGACATGGCTATGTAGCTCAGGTTGGCTTTGAACTCACTGTGGAGCCCAAGCTGGCCTTGAACTCATGGTGATTCTCCTGGAGTAGTTGATATACACCATGAAGAAAAACTGAAGTGGCCTAAAGACCTAATTATAAAAAAAGGTAAATAAAATGATAGATTTTTAAAAAAAAATTATTTATGTGTGTGTGTGTGTGTGTGGCCAGCTCAGCCCACCAGGGGGCGGGGCTGGCTGGCATGTCGTGCTGGGGGATTGAACCGCGGTCTCTGTGCTTTGCTAAGCTTGTTCTAAGTAGGTGCTTTAGACCACTGAGCCATCTCACCAGCCCCTAAAATGATAGATTAACAGGACAGCAAGACAGGATGCAGTTCACTCCAGCATGCACTAATTCCCAGTAAACACGTTGAGCGGTGACTATCTGCAGCATGAATCTTGGGCCAGATCTTGAACACATAGATGAACAGAAGCTCCAGGAAAGGCCAGTTGTGGTGGCGCATGCCTGTAATCCCAGCACTTGGGAGGCTAAGGCAGGAGGATCACTGTGAGTTTGAGACCAAGCTTGAGCTACAAAGTGAGCCAAGAACGGCCTGAGCTGCATAGTGAGACCCTATCTCAAAAAAAAAAAATAAGCTCCAGGGAGACTGGATATCCAGGTTCAGATAACCACAGTGCAGGGGATGTTCCAGAGGTCTATAAAGCAAGGCCATCTGCTGGTGGCACAGGCCTACAATTCCAAGTACTCAGAAGGAAGAGACAGGACTACATGTCTGAGGTTATCCTGAGCAATTTAGCTAGACCCTGTCTCAAAAATGCTGTGGAAAGGCTCGGAACACTGGATGTGGTGGTTTATTCCTATAATCATAGCACTTGGGAAGCAGAGGCAAGAGGAACTGCCAAGAGTTCAAAGCCAGCCTGGACTATGTAGGAAAACTCTTGCTTTGAAACACCAACAGAACAAAACAATTCAGTTGTAGAACATTTGCCAGGCATATGTAAGGCCTTGGATTCAATGCCCATCCAGTAGAGCTACACAGTGGTCACAAAACTCTACCTTGGTTCCAAAGACTGCATCAAGCAGGTGCTGTGTGATTTCAAATGAGTGCAAAATCCCAGTCAGAGAAGGGGAAAATGGGACCATGGAAACAGCTCAATGGTCTAAGCACTGGCCTGGCAATCCCAAGGAGTTAGATCCCTGGCACTGCATGCTATGCCGGTCCCAACTCTGAGCTGTACTGACCCTGTACCAAAGGGGAAAATGTAAGCAAAGCACAATGGGGGTGGGGGATGGGACCCAGGGTGAGTGGGCCACAGGACAGCAGGACAGCCTAGGCTGTGATCCTCAGCTGAACACCTTTTTTGTCTATAGGGTTGTTTGGGCCATAATTTGGAGTAAACTCGAGAACCAGGCAACTAATAGCTCTGGAAGTTAAGGAGAACAAACCATGAAGAACACAAAGGAAGCCTCCCAATGGTCAGTGTATGCTGGTATCAACATTTGCCCAATTAAATACAGGATACACCCCATCCAGCACTTCGCAAAACTTAAGTCTCAAATAAATATATATATTTTTTGGTGGAACTGGGGATTGAACTCAGGCCCTTGCCAGGGAAGTGCTTATCCCACTGAGCCATCTCCCCGGCCCCAATAATTTTTTTTAATACAAGCATGCACCAATTACTATATGAGACTTCTATTATAAAGTTATTTGATTTTGGACATGAAGTTGTACCCAAAAAATTAAAAACAAACATTTAACATTTAAAGAGGCTGAGTCACTTGCCTGCAACCTCTGAAGTATCCAAGGCAGATCACCAAAGGGATGGCCATCAGAGCACTTGTTAATTTGTCAAGCATTAGGAAGGCAGCCAAATCTAGGCCCAGATGCTGGGAGGACACTGGCCATGGGCCTCAGTCTCCTGTGAGAGCTGACAGTGCCAAGGTTCAGGACTCAAGGTGAGAAAAGAGACTGTGTGGAATGTCCTGTGGCCCTGATCTTTGTTACTGCTTATCTCTGTGCAATCGGTGAATACAGTGAAAAGGACACTGGGAATAAGTTGCTATGAAGCAGGGAGCAATTCAAAAACACAGTGGCGAGCAGGTGTGTTACACCCTTGTAATCTAAGCACTCAAACAGGCCAAGACAGGATTGCTGTGAGTCTGAGGCCAGTCTGATCCTATCTCCATAAACAAACTGTGGCACCTTGGTTCACAAACCTCTTTCCACAATTCTGGTTGCGTATCAAATTAGACAAGAACTAAATCAATTTCCCCCTAAAGTCAACAATGATCCTAACCATTGAATTTGATTCTATTATGACCAGAATCATAGAAAGAATTAAGTTTTGTGAACTGAGGTAACACTTTTAAGCAGGTCAGCTTTGCAGGGCCGGGGAGATGGCTCAGTAGAATAAGTGCTTGCCTGGCAAGCACAAGGGTCTGAGTTCAATCCCCAGTTCCACACACACACACACACAAGCTCATGGGGCTGGGAAGATAGTTCAGTATATTAAGCACTTGCCTGGCAAGCACAGGGTTCTGAGTTCAATCCCACCCCACCCCCCCAAAAAAAAAGCCATAAAAAACTCAGCTTTGGGCCAGGGTAATAGCTCAACAGCATAAGTGCCTGACTGGCAAGTGCAAAATCAAAGACAAAGAAAAAAAAAAAAAAAATCTCAGCTTTGAGAAGTTTAACATTACAGACAAAAACAAATGCTAATTAAGACCTTCATTTTGTGTTTACATCCCCAGATTTTTGCTTCTTCCTATTTTGAAACTTACTGTCATTAAGTTGCCCAAGCTGGTGAATTTGTGATCCTCCTGCCTCAACCTCCCAGAATGCTGGGATTACAAAATATGCCATGCTGCTGTCCAGCTTCAAGACTGCTGGATAGCATTTCTTACCATAAAAGGAGCACAACCCATTTAGGAATTTGAGAATACAGAAGCTTAGGGCACTGGATCAAGGCCAGAAAGGCTGGCCTTGGAGAGGTGACATGTGCCCTCTGTGGGGAAGGAGGCAAAGGGATGGCTTTGGGAAGAACACAAGGGTCTTACTTCCTTTGGGGGAGAAGGCAGGTGAGTGTAGAAATGGAGTGGGATAGAAGGCTAGCTGGTGCTGCCTACATGATGTTCCTGTACCTTACCTCACACCATGTTGGGGAGTTTCCAGGAATCCGCATCTCTGCCCAGTGCCCCAGGGGCTCCTGTAACACCCACTGCTGTTCATTATCCAGCCTGGGCCATTGTGCGAGGGCTGCTGGCTCCTTCAGAGGAGCCTGAAAGGTAAGGGGGTGCAGGGCTGGCTCAGGAGGGGGCAGTCCCAGCAGCTCCCTGGGAGCTCTTTTTTTTTTTTTTGGCGGAACCGGGGATTGAACTCAGGCCCTTGCCAGGGAAGCACTTATTCCACTGAGCCATCTCCTTGGCCCTAAAATGACACTTATTTCTTTTTCCTTTTTTTCTTTTTCTTGGCGGAACCAGGGATTGAACTCAGGCCCTTGTGCTTGCCAGAGAAGCGCTTATTTCACTGAGCCATCTCCCCGTCCCTAATATTTTTTTATTTTTATTTTTTTTGGCGGAACCGGGGATTGAACTCAGGTCCTTGTGCTTGCCAGGGAAGCGCTTATTCCACTGAGCCCTCTCCCCAGCCCCCTAATATTTTTTGAATCACTTTTTTTTTTTTTTTTTTTTGGTGGAACCAGGGATTGAACTCAGGCCCTTGCGCTTGCCAGGGAAGCACTTATTCTGAGCCATCTCCCTGGCTCTGGGAGCTCTTAGCAGCATCCCCATCCCCATTTCTCCCTCCTGGCACAGGAAGCCTCCATTCCTTGCAGTCCTCACCCAGAGAACAGAATAGGTGAGTAGACAAGAAACAGACCAAGGGTGAGGGACCAGGATTTACCATTGCACCACGGGTAGAGCCAGGCAAGAAGCTGTAGAGGGCCAGGCCTGGTGCCATGGCCCAAAGGTTTGGCTTCCTGGGTTTTATGCCTGCAGCTTTGACCCTTGACCACACAAAAGCACAATGCATGAAGAGGCAGAAACTTTGATTTCTTTTATTTCAAGTGAAACCCATTTCCCCTGTAATGCAGTTAGCTCCTTAGGGACAAAAAAGGGCTCAGTGATGAGATTAAGGCACTGTGATCTAGCTCCTCCTGATTCTACAGGAGCAAGACACTGCCACAGAGTCTCACCCTGCCAGCCAGCAGGAATCAGAGTTCAAGAGTGGCCCAGCCAAGGTCAAGTGGGCTCATCCAAGTGAGGGCGCCTGATCGCAGTGTGAGGCCTTGGACAGCCCTGTATGCTAGGCCTTGCAGAAACTCTTCCACCTTACCAGGCCTGTGAGCCCACAACCAGCACATAAGCAAGTGCTCAGCCCCCAAGGCCGACTTGCCACCTACTGAGCCTCACCCTTCAGCCCCTGCTTCCACTAACTTGTAAATACCACAAGTGCAGTGGCCAATGTTGAGTGGCAGTTGGGCAATATTTAAGCCACACCTCCCATCAGTACCAAAAAAGGGAAAGGGGAAATGACAGCCCCCCCCCAGCCATGATGTGCAACCTCACCTCAACTCCCAGCACCTCCCCGAAGCAGGATCCCAAGGGAGAGCATTGTAAAGTAAAAGGGAAAATTGCTGTCAACCCCTGCAGCTTTCTCATGAAAGGAAAGCCTCAAGGAATGTTATAAGCACAAATGCAGATGTTCCTGGGACTGGGACCTTTTATTCTTCTAGGGACAAAGAATGTACTATTCATTTTTAAAGAAATAGGTATGGGTAACAGGTTGTGGTTACCTGAAATCTCAGCACTTGGGAGGCTGAAAAAGATCATGAGTTTGAGGCCAGGCTAGGCTACATAGCAAGATCCTGTCTCAAAACACACAAAAAGGTATAGATGACAAGTGGGCAGATGACCAGCTGAGATGGGGCAACATGGAATGCATCTTCTTTGTGCCAAATAATGTTCCAACAACCTGGCATTTATCAAAACCTCAACAGGAGAACACAGATGTAATTACACACAGCTCCAAAATAGGAAATATTTATACTCAGGACCCAGTTAAGGTGCCCTTCCTCATTAAACACTTGGACCCCGGCCGGGTATGGAGGCACATCCAATGCTGTGGGACAGGCAGGATTGTAAATCTGAGCCCAGCCTCGGCAACACAGTCAGATGATGTCTCAAAATTTAATAAGAATAAAGAAAGGACTTCATACTCATGGTAGTAGTAAGACCCTGGGTTCAAGCCTCAGGTTCACCAAACAAATAAAACACAAAATCTGGGCTCCACAGGCTGACAGTTTAGTCTCTCAAGGCTACCACTGCCCCCTAGACTGCGACTAGATGGTTCACAGAGCTGAATGGGATACCTAGCACCTGAGAAAGGCCACTCAAGGACAGCCCAAAGTCAGCCAGATTTCATAAGGCCCGAAGCTGGAGCTGGTTGAGGTCATGGTTCCTAACTGGAGCAACAGTGGGCTTCCACAGATACTTCAGGGAAACAGAAAGAAGAGGGTGACGAGGGGCCACGGAGGCCCATTTTCTGCAACTGACACTGCGTGTTGGGGCTTCCTAAACCCTCAGGGGTAGATGGGCCTCCCAGGCAACAACAGCACCCACAGGGTCAAAGAAGCCAACAGGGGGTACCCTAGTGTCTTCACTGGGAGGAGGCTATGTACAAGGAGGAGGGAGGGTCTGGCCAGGCCCAACCTCACTTCATCTCATTCAACCAGGAGATCAAACTGCTCAGCAGCTTCAAACTCAGCATTCATGGCCGCGGCCCACTCATCCAGCTCCGACTTCTGGGGAAGAGAAATGGGGCTAGGTGAGCAGGACGGGGGGGATACACTGGCCGGAGCCTGTGACCCACACCCTGCAGATGTTGCTGTCCCACCCCATCCAGAACCAGAGCTGAGCCTTGGGCTTGCATAGCTCCCAAGCACACAGCATGACAGCAGAAAAAAACTCCCTTCTCCCTTACTCACCAGTATCTCCGGCACTTTTTTCTTCTTTCGCTTCTCTTTTCTAACTAGAGGAGAGATTCCTGGGAGATTTGTGTCTGGGCACCACGGCTTTACTTTGGGGACCTCAGTTAACTTTGAACACACTACAGGGGAGACTCCAGACAAATCTTCAGGCTCCTCAAAGCCAAAACAAGACCGGAGGCCAGGAGTGGAGGTGGAGGCACAGCCGAGGGTGTCCAGCCGGCTGTAGGAGCGTCTGACTTTCCTAGACATTTCCAGGTATCTGACATCCAATTCCTCCTCCTTGGAGTCATTGTTGGAGCAGCACAGCACAGGAGTGGGAGCGGGGGTGGTGGGGACACTACATGTCTTGAAAAGGTCTTCCTTCCTGGGCTCCTGGATGGGTGGGTTGTTTTCTTTTCCCAAGAAAAAAGCAATCTGCAAAGAGACATTGGGCAGAACACCTCCCTGTTACACACACAGCTGGACTCCTTACTTATGAAAAAGCCTCAGGAGACTCAGGGTGGGAAGAAATGCTCTACAGGACCATTTTATTTATGCATTTACTGACGTACTCAGGATCAAACACAGGGGCTCACACATGCTAGGCCTGCACTCTACTAATGAGCTATACCCCTACATACCTTTTTCGTGTTATTAGGAATTGAATCTGGGCCTGTACTGCCCTATTTTATTATTCCTGAGACAGAAACTTGCTATGTAGTCCAGGTTGGCCTTGAACTCATGGCGTCCTCCTGCCTCAGCCTCAGAGTGCTGGGGTTATGGGTGTGTGACACCATGCCCGGCCAATTTTATTTTCAGACAGCATGTTGCTAAGTTCCCCAGGCTGGCCTTGGAACTGTGATCCCTCTACTTCAGTCTCTTAAGTAGCTGGTACAAAAGATATGAGCCACTGAACCCATTTGGATAAATACTTCTATTTTATTTTACCAGGAATCTAACTCAGGACCTTGCATTTGCCAGGCAGGCGCTTGCGCCACTGAACTACTGCCCTGGCCCCTGGGTAAATACTTTTAAAAGAAAGCTATCACTGCTTGTGCTGAGTCTACTCTTGTGCTATGAGAAGACTAAGCACATCTACTGGTGCTATCCCTATTTCCAAGTGTGCTCGTAAGTCAGCCACCTAACAGAAACCCCCGTGTACTGTCCAAACCAGCTCAATAATCTGCTCTGCCTGCTTCTAGCTTTACCCTCTAGGAGTTCATTTGTGACACAGCCACTGCAGATTTTCCCAGAGTCCACTCAGTCAGTAAGGATCCAGTAGCCACCTGTCCTATGCCCCGCACTGTGCTGGGTAGTGGGAGTACAGAAGGAAATAAAGAGAAAAGCCCTGCCACCCTGGTGCTTCCATTCTAGAGGGGAAACAGATAATAAGGAAGATTGCGAACTGTAATACAAGTGCTACAGAAACAAAAGAGGATCAAGGACTAGGATGGGCTGGAACTATAGGCTTCACTGAGAAAGTGACATGTGCGCTACAACTGGAAGGTGGGGAGGGAGTGGGTGGTGTGGGCACCAGAAGGAAAAGCATTCTAAGTAGCAGAAATAAAAGGTACAAAAGCCCCAAGGGCAAAATGTACCAGTCGGGGTCAAGGAATAAGGTCATTGTGATTGAATAGAAGAAAAAAATGAGAAAGGAACAGAAGACAAAGTTTGAAAGCTAATGCATATGTGTGTGTGTGTTGGGGGTATGGAGGCCACCATAATGGTCTCTCAGACCAAGGAAGCCAGGGTAAGGCTGGAGCAGGAAAGGCTTAACACATGCAGAGCTTCCCATACTGGCTGCTTGTAAAACTCCTCTGGGCTCAGATGCTTCCTCAGGGAGGCTGAGCCTTACCAGGGGCACCAAGACAGCCTCACCTCACCTCTGGTTGTTACCAGTCACACTAACCTTTTATTTCCTGTATAACATCACTATCTGATGCTGGCTTTGTTTTGTACTGGTTCACTTAATCACCCCAACTAGAAAGGGAGCTATTCCGGACAGCAGGGGTCTTTGACTGGTTTCATATTTTGAATGCTCCATAATTACCAAGTTGATGTACATGAAACTTGGCACTGAGCTTTCTGCAAGTCAAGGTAAGGATGGAAGCAGAACAAATCAACTGTGGCCTAATACAAGAAAGTAAATTAGTTTATGGAGATATTTCCTGGCCATAAGATCTTGGGAATCTGCCCCTTGGACTTAGTAAAAGGGATGCTCAACAAAACAGGAATACTCTTAACTATTTCTTCCACCTCCCCGAAGGCCAATCAGCCATCCAGTTCCTGGCAACTTTATCCTGTTCTCAAGAATCTGGGAACTAGGGAGATGGCTCCGTAGAATAAGTGCTTGCTTGGCAAGCGCAAGGGCCGCCTGAGTTCAATCCCCGGTTCCGCAAAAAAAAAAAAAAAAAAAAAAAGATCTATTAGAGGCCTGGCAGGATAGCTCAGTGGTCTACAGTGCCTGCTTAGGCAGACGAAGGGGATCTTGGTTCAATCCCTGGCACCACATGCTGCGCCATACTCACCCTCAGGGTGAGCTGAGCGAGCTGGCCACAAAAAAAAAAAAAAAAAAAAGGGCCAGCCAGATAGCTCAGCTTATTAAGGTGCCTGCTTTAGCAGATGCAGGGGCTGGGGGTTCAATCCCACATCTGTCATGCCAGCCCCGCCCCCGGGTTGAGCTGAGACGGTGATTAAGACCGGGCGTTGTGGCGCAAGTCTATAATCCCAGAGCTTGGTGGGCTGAAAACAGGTCGATCACTATGAGTCCAATCTGTGTAGTGAGACCTTATAGGCCCTTCACTAAATACATTAAAAAAAAAAAAAAAAAAAAACTGTTAGAGCTAGGCATGGTGTAACATGGTGTACATTTTAACACCTGTAATTCTAGCCCTCCAGTGGGCAGTTGAGACAGGAGGATTGGTAGAGTTCACAACCAGCCTGGGATACAAAGTGAGCTCAAGGCCAGCCTTAATTGCATAGTAAGACCCTGTCTCAAAAAGAGAAAAGCAAAAAAAAAAAAAAAAAAAAAAAAAAAAAAAAAAAAAAGAAACAAAAACAAAAGGATCAGAGCTGGGCATGGTTACACATACCTATAATCCCACACACCTGTAATCCTAGCCCTTGGGAAGATGAGGCAGGAGGATTGCTGCATTCAAGGCCAGCCTGGGCTACACAGTGAATTTGAGACCAACTTGAACTACATTGTAAGACCTTGTCTCAAACAAACAAAATAATCTATTAGTTAACTAACAAGAATGACAATAAGTCTCTGCTTACAAGGTATTTACATTCATACAAAGACATCAAACATATAAGGAACTATACTATTAGATGCTGATAAGGTCTAAGAGAATTACACAGAGAAGTGTAAAAATAAATAAAAAGGCCAGGCACAGTGGTGCACGCCTGTAACCCCAGCACCTAGGAGGCAGAGGCAGGAGGATCACTGTGAGCCAGCTTGGGTTACAAAGTGAGCTTAAGGCCAATCTGAGAGCGAGACCCTGTCTCAAAAAGACCAAACAACAAGAACAACAAAACCAAAGGTAAGAACACTCAGGGGGCCAAGCATGGTGGTGCATATCTATAGTTCCAGCTATACGGGATGCTGAAAAAGGGAGCATCAACAGTTTGAGGCCATTCCAGGTCTCAAAAGACCTTTAGTAAGACCCTGGCTTAAAAATAAAAGAATAAAAAGGGCTGGCGATGCAGCTCAGTGCTCCCTGAGTTCAATCCCTAAAAAAATGATTGGGCAGGAAAGATCTTTGTGAGGAAGTCCCCTCTGAGCCGTCTTGCTCTTGTGTGATGGGACAGTTACGGTGAGAATGGACTCAGGCCCTCGCACTTGCCAAGGAAATGGTTATTCCACGGAGCCATCTCCCTGGCCCCCAGATGGTGAGAACTGAGAGCAAAGGGAGCACATGTCTTAATCGGGTCCTTATCAACTCTCTTTAGAAATCTGAGGTTCACTGGGAGGAATGTATGCAATGCATTAATTATTGAAACTGTCCTACCAATTTGATTTGGAACTGTCTCATTACTATTTGTTTATCAATAAAATTATGGAAAAAAAAAAAAAAAAAAAGAAATCTGAGGTTCACATCCTATCTGGTCTCAGGGCTCCAGGGCAACCATTCTCCCTCTCCCTCCACTTTACCAAGGGATCTTTTAATAATTCAAGCTTAAGAGCTGGGGAGGGGCTGGAGAGATGGCTCAGTGGTCTAAAGCACCTACTTGAAACAAGCTTGGCAAAGCACAGGGACCGCGGTTCGATCCCCAGCACCACATGCCAGCCAGCCCCGCCCCCTGGTGGGCTGAGCTGGCCACACACACACAATAAATAAATGTAATAAATAAAAATAAATAAATATTTTAAAAAAAAAAAAGAGCTGGGGAGACAGCTCAGCAGCATAAGCACCAGCCTGGCAAGCACAAGGTCCTGAGTTCGATCCCCTGTGCGCACACACACAAAAAAGACTTGGTTTAACCATCCCTTCTGTGAAATATCTGTAATCACCTGGTCTAGTTTATGATGCATTTACTATTCACCTAATATTTCCATTCTGCATCCCTCAGCAATGTTGCAATCAGCTGATCATTTGTCTTTCTCCACATCTGCAAGACCCAGGGTTTTTAAAAAGGCAGTGAGGAGCCAGGGATACAGTTCAATGGCACAGCACTTGCCTGTTAAGCACAAGGGCCTGAATTCAATTCCCAGTACCCACAAAAAAAAAAAAAAAAAAAAAAAAAAGTCAGGCCAGGTGTGATAGTACACGCCTTCAATCCTAGCACTCAGGGCACTGAGCCAGGACTGCCTTGAGGTGAGGCCTGCCTAGGTTACATAGCAAGTTCAAAGCCAGTCTGAACTACATAGTGAAACCTTGTCTCAAAAACAAAACAAGGGCCGGGGAGATGGCTCAGTGGAATAAGCGCTGCCCTGGCAAGCACAAGGTCCTGAGTTCGATTGGGTGGGGGAATAGATGAAGAATTCAAGCTTGACAGTCACTACCTTGGTCAAAACTTTACAAAAGGCAAACACAATGCTTTGGGTTTGATCTCTAGAACCGCACAAAGCACGACAACCAAAACAGAACATTTCCAAAGGCTACACACAGGTGAGAAAATGAAACTTGAGCCTGTATGTGTGGTTTTCGCACCTCATCAGGATTTGCTATGGCCTTGCAACTCCCACTCCTGACTCAGTCTGCTGTACACACACCAAACAAAACTGCTAGTCCCAATTTCATGATTCTTTTTGCACTCCAGATCTTTCCTAGAGCATGGCTTCTTTGCCCAGAATCCCTACTTATTTTAAAAAACTTGGTTTAAGGCTGGGGAGATAGCTCAACAGCATAAATGCTTGCCTGGTAAGAGCAAGGTCCTGAGTTCGATCCCCTGTGCGCACACACACAAAAA